CTGAAGCCTATGTGAACTAGGCCTTGGGGAGAAGAACATTTCATAACAGGAAGACAAGTTGTTAAAGAAATGGGCTAATGCAGGTGTTAGAAACGCACACACTGTGCAATGTATATAAATTATTTTCCGGTAAGGTTACATACACCAGCAAGTTTAACCATTTGTGGACCACGGGCGTGTGGCTTGTGCCCTACAGAACGGCAACAGTGTACACAAGATGTACATCGCACGTCCTGTCCTTCTCCCCCTTCTGAAGCTTCCCTCACTGCTCTATATCCAGGGCCTGCTCTATATCACTGCAGCTGCTGCTGTTTGGAACACTGTTCAGAAATGTAATGTACCAACATTATTGTTACATTGTATTTATTTTGTTTCATTTATCTGCAGATCAAAGGGCTGGCTTTGATCTGCATGATATCAATTTAAGCAACCTTACCTGTAAAAAAAAGAAAAAAAAACGTTTTTAAAATTAAAAACGTGTCCCTATTTAACCCCTTATTAACCTGCAGTTAAGAATATTGCATTAAAAATATGCAAAAATGAAAAGAAAAAAAAGATTTTATTTGTAAAACAATTTTTGAAATGCTTTATACCAGAACTGAAATGTTATTGTCATTTTAGACAGGACAAGTTACATGTGAAATTTTTGAATATGTTTTATAATTTAGTTTGTTTTAAGTCTAACACTGGTCAAAGTTACACGTTTTTGTCTATAGGCTCCATAGAAAATAACATTATTTTTGCGTGGCAATGTTACTAGGTATTGCCAAATCAATATGTCCGTAGCAGAAATGTACAATTTGCTCTGGTTCATAAGGGGAATACAGTTGTGAGAGCTAAACTATTTATAAAGAGAATTTCCTGGCAGCAAGTGATAACAACCAGCTAGCTACAAATGCATTCTAGCAAACATTGCTGCTGCGCAAAAAACACAAAGTTCACTTAAAGTGATACCAAACTCTGGCGTTAAAGCTTAAAAATGCATTCAAGTACCTTAACTATTAACAAAACTGTAACTTATTTGTGTATCACTCGGCTGTAGATCCTCAAATCATCTCTGAATTGGTGCTGACAGGGTGGATACTTTTCAGTGGCGGACCTAAGGAACAAAGGGCCCTGGTGCAAGATTTATTTTTGGGCCCCCCCAAAAAAAAAATCACAAACACAGCGCTCTCCTCCTGCAGCACTCGGCCGGCTGTCACTTTCTCTCCTCCCCACTGGGACACAGAGCAGCGCCCAGCGGGGAGGAAAGAAAGCACGGATGCGCTGCTGTATCAGCAGAAGAATGGCACTTTTGGCATTTAGCCAAAACTACAGCTCGCGGTATACTGAGACGCCACAGTATACCGCAAGCTACTGCTCGCGGTATACTGAGACGCCGCAGCTGAAGCAGATCCCAACAATTATGTCTGGATCGGCCCAGCTGCGTGACTGACAGCTGGCTCTGCCTATCTAGAGGCAGAGCCAGCTGTACCCGCCCCCTCCCCCGTTCTATCCGCAAGTCAGTGCTGGCGGATCAGAGCCGGGAGGGGGGAATCCAGCCCTTCCCCCGTCACGGCAGAGAGCTGTGACAGGATTGAGAGGGGAGTGAACGCCGGTATGTGTTCGCTCACCTCCCGATCTACTGAGCCGACCTGTGACAGTCTCATTGTCACAGGTCGGCTAGAACTATGAGGTGAGTAAAAATCACTCACCTCATAGAAAGCTTCATGTTTAAAGGAGAACTATGTGTGAGAAAGAACAAGTAACCTATAGTTCCTGTTCACACCACTGCATTGGATAATGCATGTCATGTGTGTTGATGTGCTGCAGTGGCATTCATGATACACCTACATTGCAATGCACCACAATGCATTATATTGCACCAAAGCAGACGCCCTAGTGTGAATGGTTGGGTTTTAGAATCTCTTTTCAGAGATTTCCAGTGGGGGTACTGAGCTCACCAGAATATGGGCTTGGTTGGACTGAGCTCTGCTCCCTATGCACCCCCAGGATTTTGACATGAGTCTACCTAGCTATCTATTTCCATCAAAGGTTTATATCACAATATCACTATTGCTAGCAGAATCCCTATTTAACCATGCTATATAAATCACACACATAGTTTGACCTCTGCTGCTTATAAAGCCCTCCATCAAGCTTTCATCCTGTTTTATAGCCACACATTTTCCCAGTTATGACATTATTATTGTTTATAAGACAACACAGGGCCATCTAAAACTCTACAAAATGAGGAAACTTACCATGGTATAGCAACAACATTATTTCAATCATTTTCAACTTGAGAGGAATTTAGAGGTAATTGAATCTTTCAAGTGAAGCCAATTACATTGTTAGATTGGATGCCTCCATTTATTTATATACTGATACCAACTGTGTGGTGTTCCCCATGTTTGCCATCCCTCTAATAGATTTCCTAATGGCAAGTACTGCATAAACACTGCCAGGAATAGGAACCGCAGAACATATTTATCTCAGCTTGACCCTGTCTAGATAAGAAAACCTCTTTCACATAACTAATGATGTGGCTGCCATATCAGATGCCTCCATTTAAGAGCTGCATACTATTAATGCATCTCTGTGCTGAATATATATAACCCTTACTGCTACAGAATCTGTTGCCCTTCTGTTGTCTTGCCACTCTCCGTTCTGCCCTAACATCGACTAGTCGCTGAAGGCCACAATTTGCGTTGTTTACCCATATCTTCAGAAACAAAATCACTTCTACTGTCGTGGTAAACAACCTGCTTCCCTATTTATAATAGTCTGGCCCTCTAGCAACTTCAGCGCAAAATTATAGCTAATTTGCCTACAAATGTCAGGTGGTCATAATAATCTGGCCACTCAGTGTATATACACATACTGTATATATAGATGTGGTGGATGCACTGGTTGTTTTATTATCTGGCTAACAATAGTAGTAAGTACAGAAAATATTTGCTGCTCTTGCTAGAAATGCTGTGTCCTTGTCCCTTCCTGTGTGCTGAAAGTAAAGCACAAAGAACCTTATTTTACTTGTGTAAAATACTACTAATCCCATCAATGTAATTGAGATGAATAAAGGAAGACATATTTGAAGTCTGTGCAATAACCATGGCTCCTTTCACAGATATAGTGGAGTAAACAAAAGTAGACACGAGGGGACAGGAAGTGTGTTATTGGCAGGATCTCCAGCCTAAAGCAGCCAGCACATCTAAAGTCTGGAAAGCTTCAGTATATAACATTGTTGTAAACAAAGAGTCGGCAATGGCAGCTTGCATCTTTTAATGGAATTCTAAAGTCCCAGCATACCCTATCCCGGTATAACATCAGCATTGTGATAGGAATACATACTGGAGTTGTTCTTAATAATACAATCAAAGCTTACTTGAAAAAAGTCCCTTTTATGTAGTGAGTGCTGCCTTCCATCTGCCTATCACTTTTAACACTTTTCAGGATGTCCAATGTGCTTTGTGTCTCTTTCCTTGCTGCTTGATGTGATGCACTGTCAGTTTTCCCAAGACTACACAGCCCATAATGCATTGCTTCTAGCAAGCAATGATAATACATTGTTCAGATGTTGAGTTGTAGCTCAGAAGGCAGGCTTCGTGACATTTGTGACTCAAGGAAGTGCATTATCATAAGGCTGTGTCAGTACATTGAGGAAGTACATCCTACGGGCATCATCAATAGGTAAGTTTAGATCGATATGGTGATAAGGAGTGGGACAGGACTTATAGAAATTCAATATAGAAATACATATTTAATTTTCGTTTTTGACCATAGATACCCTTTACAGGTTCCAAAGTAAAATTGACAAGGCTCAGTTTGAAACAAATTTTCCCTGAGCCATATGTAGAATACTAGTTATGAGTCCATGAAGTTAAACCTAGTCATTGGGGTTGATTTACTAACCTTATAAAACACACCACGAACGTGTATACACCTCTGTAGTGTGTTCCCTCCCAGCATGATCTATGGGTGGAATCTAAACACCTTTGTAATGTGTACACACCCAGCAGGTGTGTTGTGCAAAGCCCTGAAGGAATTCCAAGGTGATGTTGGGTAAATTAGCTCTATGTTGTGTTGCTTGCGTTGATGAATGCAAGGAATGTAAATGCATGAGCTAACCATTTTTGTCTAAACTGTGAAGCAGCATTATATATGCATCATGTGCATGATTTTTCCATATATGGCATTATGTGGAAATATGCTTTTAGAGACATTTTGGTTGATAAATATGTTTTGATGTGTGAAAATCACACACACCTGGTGTGTGTGTGTGTGTGTTTAGGTTAGTAAATCACCCCCATTGAGTCACTACCTGAGCTGCGTCTTTCAATGGCAGATCACAATGGGGTCACACTGGTGAGTCTGCTGCTGGTGACACTGGGGTGCATCTGTCACTAAATCCAATTGAAACCGCTTCCTTTCTGGCTAAAACTCTGTAGAATCTCAATCGCTAGGGAGAGAGCAGCAATGAATGACATCCTTTCAGTTTGGCCAGTAAGATTGTGGCAACATATGAGAAGTAGAGGGGCCACTAAGCAATGCTAGCAAGGTATAGCCAGTGACAGAATCACCAGTATGGCAGAGGGCTAATGCTGCAAACAGGATCTGTATTCAGATGATTGGCTGGCCATGCCTGAATGTCACCCTCTGCCACATGACCTGCCTTTACAGCAGTAGTCAAGCATCGGCATGTGGACGGAGCCTGGAGCTGCTGATAGGTGAGTTTTAGATAGTTTAGGCAGAAATCCAAATTGTCTGTATCATATGCCTATTTCTCAGTTCAAATAATCGATTTGAGTGTATTTGGTGCTGCAATTTCCTGAATAGCTGTAATTTGAATTGCCTGATAAACCTGCATGAATACATAAAAGCCAGAATGTGACATGAGAAACAATTATCCTTTGTGCTCGTACCAATTTCCATGACAATTTTCTGTTTTTTACGGAGCTGTTAGTGAAGACTTCACTTTTATTACGGGATTTAATTCATTTGTGATTTCTGCATGAAAGGGCTGTTCTGGATCCTTGTGGAGGCTTCTATTTTGATGAGAAAGGGACACAGCAGAAACAGTGGGCATGGTGGGATTTCAGCCAGCACGTGCATGCTCCCCCCTTTCAGCCAATCACCCTGAAGATCAATTCCAACATTGAAGTTAAGATGGTGACCCAGGATCAGATTTTTCTGACATTCACAAGAGAGAAGAAGAAAGTAACATTCAATGTTGGGTCTAAACTCATGGTATGTAAAAACACCAACCTCCTCTTTGAAACCTCCTTCTTTCTACATCCATGAACTCCAGTAATGGCTGCATGGCATTTCTCATGGTGGGGGTCCTGATTGTAATAACACTGGAAAATGTGTGCCAGGCACTTGTAATCTCCATTGGGGAGGCTGTAACAGTATGACAATGCTGACAAATAATATAAGAGATGTGGGGTAAAGTGTTGCCACCCTATAACAGGGAGTGCCTGACCAAGGACCTTTATAGGATCACTAGGTAATATTTGAATGAAGGCGTCAGATTTAGAAATATTGAAAATAACATTAACATGTTAAAGTGCGCGTAAGCCCAGACTATGGACATGAACATTTTTACATATTCTTAAATAACTAAAGAGCTTTACACTAACATATCACTGACCTCTCTAGCTTCATGCACCATAAAGTAATAAATCCCCAAAGATCAGAACAAGGACTCTGGCACTGTGCTGAATGGTAGGTGTGGCCAGATTGTATTACAGTGGATGTGCATTGGTAAACAAAATCTTATTCTAACAAACATTTACATTTTTTCCCAAAATATTAAAAAACAAAACCAAAACACTTTCATTACATATGCTTTTCAGCCTACCTTAAAGTGACACCAAACTCTGGCGTTAAAGCTTAAAAATGCATTCAAGTACCTTAACTATGAACAAAAATGTATCTTATTTGTGTATCACTCGGCTGTAGATCCTCAAATCTTCTCTGAATTGGTGCTGACACTGTCCTTACTTCTGGAGGGTGGATACTTTTGGAGTGTGTGTGAGAGTGTTAAAGTAGCCACCACTCCTGTGATGGAATACAATCGCAATACAAATTACAGCAGTACCTCGGTTCACAAACTTTATTGGTTCCATGTTTGGGTCGCGAACCGAATCAAAATTCCCCATAAGGCTCAATGCAAATAAGGTTAATCCGTTCTGACCCCTACGAACGTGGCCGCGAACCAATTTTGGTTGTGAACAGAATCAAATTTTCCCATAGGGTTTAAGGTAAATGAGGTTAATCCGTTGTGAACCATATGAAAAAAAAAATGTCACCATAAAAATAGGAAAAAGTACAGTAAGAAGAAAGTGAACACTAACCTTTTCTTGGAGCGACTTCTGGCATGGAGGACAGGAAGGTGGGTGGGGAGGTATTGTTTGGAAGGAGAGCCCCCCTCCATAAGGACATCGGGGAGATCTCCTTCAGGGGTTTCCTCTTTTCTTTGTCTCTTAGCTGCAGGGTCAATTTTGGCAAAAAAAAAATCTGTCACTTGTTTTTTCCTGCGCTGCAGAACCCTCTGGAAATGAGAGACCACGTTATCGATCAACAGATTCACTTTCTTTGTACCACCACGCTTGCTCTGCACTTTCTTTGGAGCCATGCTGAATAATACTGTACAGTACTGTATGTGCTAAAACGCACACAAAAAAGCTTCTCAGCAAGTGTGCACAGGTCTGTCTGCGACCGCAAACTTGACTAGAGGAATCCACGATCACGTGTCAGAGCGGGGAAGATGGCTGTGGTTGTGTTAGTCACTCGATGCAGAGTTCATGAACAGAGGCAAAAATTTGCCAAACTTCCTGTTCGGGAACAGAAGCATTCATGAACTACCACTGTAATAAACTAAATGTGAGATTGTAGTCTATCATGGCAGCAAGCTTGGAGAGGTGGCTACTTTACATCACACACAGGGACCATGGGGAAGACAAGTAGCCCCCCTCCAGAAGGAAGGACAGTGTCAGTATGAATTCAGAGAGGATTTGAAGATCTACAGCCGAGTGATACACTAATACGATACATTTTTGTTAATAGTTCAGGTACTCAAATGCATTTTTAGGGTTTACCTCCTGAGTTTAGTGTCTCTTTAAAAGGAGAATTATGAAGCAAGTGATTTTCACTCAACCTCATAGTTCGAGCCGACGTGTGACAATGAAACTGTCACACAACGGCTCAATAGATCAGGGAGTGAACGCATACCGTCGCTCGCTCACTTCTCGATCCTGTCCCTGCAGAGAGCAGTGACTGTCACTCACGGCTCCCTGCAGGGATTACCCACTCCGATCCTCCAGCACTGACTGGCGGAACGGACGGGGCAGGGGGCGGGTACAGCTGGCTCTGCCTCTAGATAGGCAGAGCCAGCTGTCAATCACGCAGCAGGGCGGATCTCGACAGTAATGTTTATGTCCTCCCGTGACCCTTAGGAGAACTATGGGGAAAAGCCCTGACCCCATAGTTCTCCTTTAAAGAAGAACTTAAAAAAAAAATAGAAAGCAACTGTTGAGACCATTAACACTTTGTGTTTATAATAGTGTATAGGCATAATGTGAATGGGCCCCTATGTTTGAGAAGTAGACAGATCTATAAAATGTAAAAAAAAATGTTTCCAGCCGCTACACACTTCACATACATTGCCATTGTGTTTTTGTTCTTCCTCTTGCAGTTAAAAGACCCCGACAGTCGCTGCCAGCTGCAGTCAAGGGCTGATGACGCCGAGTGCTACCTTTGTTCAAAACATCTTCAAATCAGCATTCTTCTGAATAGCATCAGAGACTTCGTAAAGATCTCACACAGCTCCCACAGTACTATCGAGACCGTCCAAGACCATGTAAAGCAGCTGCAGAAGTCACTTCACTGCATTACTGGACTTGCTAGCAAACGGTCAGATTCTGCTGAGAAGGAAAAAAATAAATCAATACAACAAAGCATGACCACTGTGAAGAAAAAGCATCAGCCTCACAGGACACCATCGCCAAAAATTGGATGTAATGTCACAAAATAAGAAAGGGAGAAGCAATGGCAAATAGAATATAATAAGCAAAAAGCAAAGCAGAACAGATTGCTCAGTTTTATATGTCCAATTACATTTCATCAGTAACATTGCTTTAATGTCCACTGGGCGATCCTTCTCATAATTGCTATGATAAACACACATCCTACCACAATTCACAAGCAATACTAACTAGCAATGTAGCAGGTAGTATTGGCTGATGTGTCCCAAGCCAGATAATACAATTTGAAGGGGAGAACCAGGCAAACAGCTAAAATACATAGTTAAGACATATTTGGAATCTGTTGTACTTGCTCTAAAGGATTTGTTTTTTTATGCAGTCCTGAGATTAAAACAGCCCAGCCAGACAGCACAGGCCGGTGACCTGACTTATTTTTGTAGCAGCCTGTAGTCAACAGGAAGGTGGCACGAAGAAGCAGCAACAGACTGATGCGCTCATCCTGCTACTCATTCCTCCTGTCATTATGTTCCTTGTGTTACATGAGCATGCAGCACACCCAGAGGCGTAACTAGAACCTTCAGGGCCCGGTGCAAGAAACCCCCCCAACTGCCATGGCAAGAGGAAGGCTGCTGAGGTCCCCAGCAAGCGCGAGACCTCAGGGAGTGCTTTTAGTGCCGGTGTTCTGTCGAGAACACTGACCCAGTATCTGCACTTGCGTACCGAGGAAACCGGCATTTATTTACAAAGTATTCGTTTGTAATGGTTAATTGTGACCGATAATTATATGACGTTCATGGCAGTGAATGATGGAATATTATTAACGGTCACAATTAACGATTTCCTCGATAATACTGGTCTGTGCGCAAGCGCAGATGCTGAGGTAGGCAAATTCGACTACGTCGGCGTTCTCGACAGAACACCGGTATCTGTGTTTAGTATCTGGGCATTTTCACTAGTATAAGTACTTGTGAAAATGCCAGTATTGGCACTGGTGTGTCCATAGTTAATAATATAATGTATTGCTGGGACTTGTAGTCCTACATAGTTGGTGCTATTCTGCATTGCTGTATAATCATCATACAGCAATGCAGAATACCACCAGCTACGCGGGACTTCAAGTCCCAGCAATACATTATAATAAAAGTAAGCACTACACACACTTCCCAACATCCCAGTGACCGTAAGCTCACCCGAACTGCACATCCATGTGGGTGCGGGTGTCCATACTCGTGCGCAGACAGGATGGTTCCTGTCTGCATCACCCATCCCCCTGAATTTGCTGCCGGTGTTGTGGAGGAACGGGCACTCATTGCCGCTTCTCTGCCCGACTGCCAGATGACAGCGATCTGCCCCCGACACATGCTGTGTGAGCTGTGCGGAGCCATCTGAATGGATCAGCACACAGGAAGGGGCCTTGTGTTAGCTGCCTGGCCGGCGCCTCCTCCCCCCAACCATGCACCCCCCCCTGATTGTTACCCGACTGCTTGGGGCCTGATCCGGAGGCTGCTTGTACCCCCTTCAGCGACCCTGGCCACGGGCCCCTTAATGGCTGCGGCCCTATCTCGGGGGGGCCCTCTTCTCCCTCGCTGGGCCCCCCCAAGTGGCGGAACGCCAGGGCCTTGTCGCATTTGTGACCGCTGCAACCCTGGTAGCTCCGCCAGTGAGCACACCAAAGGCCGATGCAAAGTCAAATTTAGATATTTTGGACAATTGTATTAAAAAAAAAAGAATACTGTATGTTGGTCAACTAACAAAGGGTATGTTTTATGATCCAAGTAAAAAAGGGTAAAGTGTGTGGTTATGTCAGTCATCCAATCATGTGCAAGGAAAGATCTGTTTTTTAAAAGGAAAACTCCACTTAAAAACAATTGAAAAAAATGAATATAGCATAAATAATTGCTACACACACAATTTTGTAATTTAAAAAGGAGAACTATGAGGTGAGTGATTTCCACTCATCCTCATAGTTAGAGCCGATGTGTGACAATGAAACTGTCACACGTCGGCTCAATAGATCGGGAAGTGAGCAGAAACATGCAGCCGATCCGCTGACTTCCCGATCGTCTCCCTGCAGTGAGTGGTGACTGTCAAGTCATTGCTCTCTGCAGGGATTTCCCTCCCTTGATCCTCCAGCACTGTGTGGAGGAACGAACAGGCGAGGGAGTGGGCACACAGCTGGCTCCGCCTCTAGATAGGTAGAGCCCGCTGTCACTCACGCAGCTGGGTGGAACTCGACAGTATTGTCAGGATCCGTCACGGCTGCAGCGCTCTCGGTATTGCAGGCAATAGGTCGTGATATACTGAGCTTTGGGGCACGGGAGGACGCTAGTATATGTCCTCCAGTGACCCTAAAGAGAACTATGGGGAAAAACACTGACCTCATAGTTCTCTTTTAATGTTATTAAAATTGACCTTTCAGTTTAAAGCTGCAACCGCTGCAATATGGTGACCTGGAGGTGTTCTGTACACCTATGGTGAACAGAACGCCCCGAAAATGTCATTTTCTGTGTCTTTGATTGGCTGACTGATTTTGACAAAGATACAAGTGAAATTTTAGGCATTCCTTGCAATAGGAATTCCATTTTTGGTGACAATCGTGAGATACTCCCCAAGGGTTAAAGTAGTATTAAAACCCAAACTTGTTTATTAATAATGAGTCCAAATCAAACAAATTTATTACCCAGCAAAAGATTATTTTTTTACATTTTTGCCCAAGCACTTACCATCATCATGTTTCCAAACAGCTCCAACTCTCAGCTCGGCTTCCCTAAATTTCCTGTCCAATACAAGATCACAAGGAAGAGTACAGTCTCCAGCAGATGTCCATATACTAACTTAGAAAAGAAAGTGAGGAGGGGAGGAGAGTGGCTTGTTTTGCTGTTACCGTTTTATTTGTGGACACACACACAGCTCACTAGTACACATAGGGTTGGCTCGATAGGACCCTGCAAGGGAAAGGAGCCACCCTAAAAACAGGATATCAGGAACAGTGCTCAGGGGACCCACTGATTCTGCAGGATACGAAAACTTTTAAACATCAAGGTGCAGCATCCATTGTAAGTGATTTCATCAGCATTTGAAATAACCTTTTGACTTCAATAAAGCTTTAAGTACTACTAAAGGGATGCCGACACTGCAGCTTTCCTCATTACAACACAGAAAGTCCACCAGCCGATTAGAATGAACCCGGACCCTCCTATTCAGGAATCAGTTTGGAAAGGACATGCTGCAACAAACAGCTTTTTCTTCAGAACAGAAAAAGTAGGAATCTGCAACAAGAAGCGGATGATTGTATAATCAATGTGAACACAGCTTTACCGCATTTGCTGAGCTCCGGGAGTATTCACTTCGCTAAGTGAACAGTCCCAACTCCATTAATATCTTTCATTCCTATATCAAGGAAACAAGAAAGCAAGAAACTGGGAAAAAGTACAGGGACTAGGGGCACCAGTTGGGAACCATTGTGGTGGATGTCTCCGCTGGGGAGACAGCCAACATCAAAGCACAAATAACATTTCAACATAAGCAATATTTGAGCACTTCTGACATTTAATGCTGCTGTGACTTCTTTTTATCCTTGGTGGTACAAATGATCACTTAAAGCCTAAGTTTTACTTTTCTGACCTTGTTTCATATATTTAGGGTACAATATGAAACATGGTCACATCCCCAAACCCATTTAAAAATGCTCGCTGCATGGCTGTCACACTGACTTTCGGGCTTCCATGCTTTCTCAGTAATTGCTACAAAACAAGTTCCAACTTAATTTACTTTATTTGCCACTTGCTTGTTCCTGGTCAGAGATTAAAAGTACATAAACCAGAGACTGATGCCGAGTATTTTCATGTTAACGCTGGCGGTCCATTCCTTGCTCTCATGACAGGTGTTCTATAAAGTGGTTCTGAATTCAAAGGGTGAATCTACGCCTTATTATTTTCTATTAATGTGTTTCCATTATTTAGCCCATGTTCTTTGTTTCATAAACAGCCATTTGATGTTTCTTGATTGATCTTTCGGACAACCGGATCATAAATAACAGTCTTATTGGAGCCAAGCTTTGTATACCTTTCTGTCTAGATGGAACATATGTGATGCTACTGGATTTACCAGCAAGAACAGAATTCAGAACAAAAGCACTCAGACTGATCGTAGAAGCCAAACCCTTTATTTAAAAAGTTACTAAAACAAAGTTATTTCAGCCAATTTAAATATATGTATTTGTATGTACATTTGTATCTAATCCCTATTAAACTGTACACAGAGGAACAATCTGTTACATTTCATATCATTACCGGGTTTTATTGTTTCTCAGTGTGCTTTATAAATGACATCATGAAATACAGTTCCCCAATTTTTAAATAGATCCCAATATAACTACAATCTTCCTGTACATGGCATTAAAACAATTGATATATGTACAGTAATCCGTTTAAGTTATGAAAAAAAAACACATTATAAAAGGAGGTAAATATACATATATTACAAGGCACTGGGTACAAAGTTACAATTGGGGGCTCGGAGGGAAAAAAAACAAAAAAGGGAGTAAAATTATGCTGCACACACTAAGGATCTCCGCACCAAGGTGCTGCCCCTTTTCTTTCCCTTCTGCAGTCAGAGACTTACTTCTGCTCCTAGAGGTAAGGGTTAGTTAACATCTATATGACATGGAGAGGGGAATTTATCACTACTGGAGCAGACAGAATCTGGAGCAGTTGTCCATGGCAACCAATCAGCTTCTCCCTTCAGTTTGTTTCGTTAAGATTTTAAAATGAGAGAGAGATTGGTTGCCATGAGCAACGGCACCAGATTTTGATAAATCCCCCCTCATTGTATCTTCTGCATAATGAATTTCAGATACACTCATTTGCTAATAATCTAACAAGAATTCTAGAGGTATACAAAATAATACCAGCTCATCTTCTCATATGTAACGAATCTTCAAAGACATACCGGGCTATTCACAAAAGGGTGCAGAGTTTGGAGAAGTCAGGAGAAGTGAACAATCTAGGACAACATAACTGATTTGGAAAATTCTCCATTTTTTGTTCCTGCCTCTCATTAGGCAAGAACTCGTATCCAGGTATTGACTCTGGTCAACAGTATTTCCTGCCTGTCCTTTGATCCTAGATCTCAGCCAGCATGTACACAATTCAACCCAATACAGGAAGACATGAGCCACCTACCATGCCTGAGACGTTGCACATAATGTACACTGCAAGAAACCTAAATCTGGCCACAGACATGAGTGATTGGTTAAACTCATATTGATCATCTGACCACGAACAATTCTTTCATACAGACACGTATAGACAGGCACACTTATCACCCGAGAATGCATTTTTATTCTTACAGTGGAAGTGGGAAGGGGGGGTCTTCCATCTTATCTAAAGGGAAACCATGGCAATTGATTGAGTTGATCCAACTTAAAAAAAGACAATTTATTTGTTGGCCAAGAGTGTCTGTAGATATAATGATTGGAACCTTGTCATATTTGTGACCACTTTTACTTGTTCACTTATAAAAAGAGGGAAACCACCCAAGTAAATGACCTTTCTGATCTTCATCCACAAAAACTCCTCACAAGAAACACACTCTTAATGGGTCACGGAGCAAAAAAAAAAGCCCGCCTAGGTGATGTTATTGTCACCAGAGAGCCAACATATAATTGGTCTTTTCGGAAAAAAATATGTAGTGTTGTCATATTTATATATACATTCAAAGCACTTTTCAGACAATTCCTCAGCTCAAGTCTTTGACAGGCCATCACATTTCAGACTGCTTAGTTAACTTTTAATTAGTCACCCCCATGCTTTCCCAACACAGTACTTTTAGGAGATATGCACCTTTTCAGACATTTCATACCCCTCAAAGAGCAACTCTGTCAGTTTGAAGGTCCCATGAGTGAAGCTCCATGGTTTTCAACTCTACCCCTCCTAAAGTCTAGTAACAATATCTTTACAATATGTGACATCTAGCCACTAAATCCTTTAGGTGAAAATGTTCCTTCTGTGTGCCGCACCAGCACTCTGACAAACCAGTGCATATCACAGTGGTCTTCATTTAATAAGGAAGCATTTACTGTAATGTGCCATAACCATATCAACCAAGAAGCCAACTGATTGCTTTTCTCTGCTCTGACCTCATTGATTGTTATAGGTTTCTGAAAGCTTTGAGAAGAGAATACATCAGGACTGATTTCACTCTTGGCAGACAAAGGGTACTTACTCTCAGCTTTTGCATGGGTTGCCAGAGATGAAGTAGAGGGCATTAGCAAACAAAAATAGTAACTGGGGTTCATGCGTAAGGCAGCATTGACTATAATGTGCCATAACCATATTACCAATAAGCTTAACTGACCGCTTTTCTCTGCTCTGACCTCACTGGTTGTTACGGGCTTCTGAAAGCCTAGAGAAGATAATACATCAGGACTAATTTCACTCTTGGAAGACAATGGGTACTTTCTCTCAGCTTTTGCATGGGCTGCCAGAGATGAAGTGGAGGCTATCAGCAAACACCGTCATCTTCAGGGGTGACTTGGTATATGAAAAATAGTAACTGGGGTTCATGCGTGAGTTCCCCATTAGCCAATGTGGCACCTACAACTGCCTTAGACATAATTTATTATACTGATTTTATCCAATGAATGGGAAGAAATGACAAAATAGAAATGACAAAATAGAAACTTTGCACCATGATCTATCAAAGCAACTGCAACTTGTTCTATCCAAGTATCACAAAAAGACATTACTTCCAGCTAGAATTAAATCACAAGCCTAATTGTAGGATGGTTAATATGTTCATCTGGTAAGATATTCCCAGTTAAAGGTCATTTGCCAAACTGCTGTTTTATGGTAATGTTTATGCCATTTTCCTTGTCACATTATTTGTTATTACACTAAAAGGAAATAAAAAGTCATACTAAATCTGCAGAGTCTTAATTAAAATGTACTTCAATAATGTGAGAAGCAAAATCTCCGGGGATCCCTAGTGTTATATATTGGTTTTCTACACTCACTGTAAATGCGTTACACTTATCTCCATGCTCCCTAGAGAAGTCTCGCCTATAATGCATTCAGCTATGCTAAACAGCCAGGAGACATTCCCAGTTTAGCATCTCCGGCAGACTCTGTACACTGCACAATATATAGGTTAGCCAGTACCATTTGCAAGTGAAGGCAAGCCTTACAAGTCCACATCTAGATGCCGTCTCATCATTTCTATAAGAACTGCAGGCTAGATGCATACAAGTCTCTGTTAAAGTTTAGAGAAAGATTGTTCAGAGGTCAAAACAAGTACAGACAATGGCCTACATATACAGCTATTGTCAACTGTAGGATAAACCGAGTTCAATTACGTGTTGACCAAATGGTGCTCTAATGGAATGTATGCAGATAACGATAAGATCAACATTGAACTAGATAGAAATGTCCTAAAGAAAACCATTGGATTGATGATATTATAATCAGCATGTATATACCTGTTCTGTGTCATTACCAAGTTATATTATCTACCAACCTGTCTAAGCTACACATACTAACCCAGATCTACATGCTATATGAGATGAGATATGGCTACACAAGCCAGCCCACACAAATTCAATGGAACCATTAATATTGAGCATATACACAGGCAGATGCGGTCATCAAATCTCTACATTTACCATTCTAGATATTTTGTATCCAACCAAATACTGGAAATGCCTGTGCTTCATAAAAGGTTGGCTTGACCTTGTCTGCTGCACCAAGTCCAAACCTGGCTTGTCCACAATTGCTTACAGTGATCAGAAATTTGAAGATTATCCCACTCCAAAATGCTACTCAACTTCACTATTTAAAATCTATGACATAGACAAGGCAGGAAATCTCATCTGTGTTGCAAGCTGTACAAGTTCATTTATGTAAGCCCTGCGATCCTTAAAAGGAATGAATAGTCCATTTAATATGTTTTAGCTACACCTGTAAAAGTGGTCAGAATAATGTAAACAACGTTACTGAGATTGTTAAGATTTTAAAATCCCTTTTTGTACTGGTTGCGATTTTATACGTACAGGGGGCATTCATACTGACTCGTTACATATACTGTACAGACTCTGTTTCTTGCTTTGCAGTGCATCAAATGGGTTTGCTTTTCCTCTTCTTTATACAAAGTAAGGTAACGAGTCCGGTAACGAGTCCAGCAACGCATCAAGAACAATGCTCTTCCTGTGTAGCTGATGTTTTATCTCGTCAATCATGTCCGTGATTTCCAGGAATACTAGAAATGTTTGCTTTTCCTGCACTGCAAAGGTTAACTGCTCATTTTGGCCTAGGGGCTTGAATAAAGCAGATATACTCACATGAACCTCAATTCCGCCAAGCTGCTAGACCGCTCCCCCACAGCCTCTTCTTCCCTGGGCTCTGGCAGTCTAAGGACCACTGACATCCTTACTTCTAATGCAGGTCCATTGAGCTGCATTAGACCGGAGGACGCCAAGGAAGATTGCATAGCTGGGGCAGAGGGGGATCAGGTTAGTATATCTGCTTCATTGCTTCCCCTAGAGAAAAAACAAACACTTAACCCTTTCAGTGCTGGGGTAGCTCCACTGCAAAGGAAAGTTTTTAAAATCCCCAGAATTCTTCTTTAAGCAGGAAGGCAGAATGATGATGGCGGCTAATTCATACTGCTGCCCCTAAGGGCTAATCCACAAAACTCTATATTATTATATACACAATTACAAGTATGGAAAAACAAGAATGGTGGCTTTGCATACATGTTAAAGAGATGCTTTACCTTTGCCCATTCAGTGTCTGGCTTTAGACAAGCACTGCTACTGTGCCCTGATTTGGTAAAGTGAGTGTCTCTAAGTGGTTTAATCCAGCTCAGCTGTACAAGATGCAAATGCTGAGAGCTGGCAAATATACGCAGTTAAGATGGCAAGTGCTTTACAACTGAAACATTGCACAGCGACTAAAATAATTTAGCCTCAAATCTCCAACCACCCCCCTCAACTAATAGAACTGCATGGATTATCTGCTCAGGATCCAGTGTGTTTTAGTAACTTTGCTCCCATTACATACGCCTCTATAAACCAATATTGGTCAAAGGTGCAAGTGAATATGCAACCTATTAGTACTGATTGAGAGGGGTCACCAAGTCCAAGTTGTCACAAGGGGCTATGAAACATCCTAAATATGCATCGTGAGGTTATCCTAAAATGTGTGCAGACTGGACTTCTGAAAGGTCAGCTATATTGTGAGACATCAAATTGACTTTCAAGAACACAATACCGATAGAACGGACTAAAAGCTTTCCAGGGAGTGGAAATCTGCTTTGGTGGAATGCAGGCTCATCTCTCTCCGCATTGGCCTGTGGTATGCTGCAGAGCATCAGTTCTGTATTCCCGCTTCATTCCTCCCTGGAACTTCCAGATGCAGGGGGAAATATAGCAATCTTCTGCTTATTTTGACATTGACAGCAACAGATTTACCTAAAATGAAAAGGAAGGACAGTTGGATAAGCAAATCAATGATGCAAGCTCATTTGAAAACAGAAATCATTTCAGTAAACCAAAATGTGCTCATACTTGCTCATAAGTGTGGTGTGTGCACATTCATTTTATTCATGCTCTCGTACATAGTGTACATTTTATATGGGCTAATGCCTTGCATGCATGAGTACACACATCTTTTATAAATCCAGGAGGCATTCATAAGATGCTGTTGTGGTAGTTTTTCTGTGTGTGGATAAAAAGCTGTAGGTTGCCATGGTAACACAGAATCATTCCCCTTCAGATGTGTGCAGTGGATAGAATGCAGGCATAACATAGGAAAGTTTATGCCAAGGAAGACATTATTTAAGATGTAATATTGTAGAAAGGAGAATTTTGAAGTGAGTTGGAATAATTGGTCTATTGCCTTCTACAACTTCCTATTATAAATCTTATGTTCCCCACCCAAGCACATGAATCTATTCACCTGCAGCACTTCTATTCACCTATGGGGTTGGCTTATAAAAGCTACAAGAAAAGGAAAAAAAATCAAGATCCCTTCCATAGCTGCCAATCAAATCTCTGCTTCAACTGTCTAAATCCACCTTTGCATAAAGTAGCTCAGTTGACAGAAGATAGTATAACCACTCACGTCATCATAAAGGGGATACAATATTGTATTCTTAACAACCGGCCACTGTATCTATGCACAGCCGGTCCACATCCCCATTGTTACGGAGGACGTACCCGTCATTGGACAGTCAAGAGCCACGGCTTTGTTTCCTGTGATTGCGTATTACATGGCAATTTTTACATTGCCAAGCCCTCCACTTCCTCTTACATCAGAGGCAGGGGAGAGTATAGGAAGTAATAAATGGATGATGACTTGTTTGAACCCTTTTAACCCTCCCACCTCTCCTGCTTATCTCATCTGCATTCTGTCTGTTCTGTATAGTAACCCTTTCCCCTCCCATTATCCTGCACAGTTATACATTAACTAGGGATGCACCGATACCAGTTCAGATACCAATGCCGATACTTGGCATTTTCATGAGAACTACCATGGTTGCAGCTGGGACCTAGTTCTGGCACTCCACCACTGTCCTGAAATCATTAGTCTGTCTTGTTTTAGAAAAACTGTCACATGACAAACAAAAATGTATCAGTACTTGGACAAGTATCAGTACTTGTAAAAATGGTATCTGTGCATCCCTTATATATATTTATAAAAACAAAATCATACATTAAAACATGAACTTTTCTCTAGTCTAGTCCTGGAGCTGGAAAAGTATCTGTACTTGTACCGAGTATGGTACTTAGTATCGGTGCATCCCTAACATTAACCCCTTCGCTCCCTCTGTCTATGATCTGTACATTTATTGCATCATGTGCACTATTAACAAGCTCCATGTTTAAAACTGCGGAAAATTTAGAGGGATTTCATACTGTCCTGACATTTTTATATGCAAAGATTTATAAATGAAAGAGAAACAGGCTTGGGAAGAGAAACAAATGTTTTGGTCATTTTTAACTTTATATAGTATAAATACAAAAAAATCGGTAATTAAATACCACTAAAAAACAAAAGCTCTGTGTCCCCAAAAATGATATAAAATTAATTTGTGTGACGGAGGAATTTTCATTGCGGAGAACTGAAAAATGGCCTGGTAATGAAGGGGGTGTAACATGCTGCTACTTAAGTGGTTAATGTCCTTTTACACCCCTCTAATATGCTATTCTAGTCCCAAACTGCTCCCCCCAACCTTCCCCTGATGCATATTTACCTTGCAATCATACCTACAACCTCCACTCTTGGTTTACATTTGGCCTTTGAACCTGCTTTGACCAGGTCAGCTCCCCTTACGGTTCTATGTGGCCATCTCCTAAGTCTTTGCTGCCTCAGGAGACAGCCCCTGTAGAACACGACAAGAAGCTACTGCACAAATTGCAGGCGGTGTGACAGAATGGAGGTCACCGCCCAATTGCAAGGTGAGGCGATACATGAACGGTATTTTTTAGTAAAAGATTTCATTGCAATTTCAAAGAAGCAAGAGATTTAGTCTTAAGGATAGAAGAGACAGCCTGGCAAATACATTCCTTTATGCCAATGTGGCCAACTGTGCCTATTGTACTAATAAATTATAACAAACATGTAACCTAAAGCTACAGAAGTCAACTATTCTAACCTGCATTCAATGGAGTCAGATTTGTAAGCTAAACAACAACATTAAGCCTACTAGAGAGTAAGTAAACAACCTAATATTTGAAGACATGGTGTGAAAATACCTGGTGAAAAATGTCATCTCACACTAACAATTCTCTCCCTGGCAACAACCCACCAGCACTAGAATCACGAAGGTGCTCATTTATAATGGAGAGCAGATATCACTATCAGCACTCCGTTATCCACCACCGTGCTATGCACACCGCAGCCCGTCTTAGCCAAAAGGAAAGAGAAAAATAAATAAATTGGGCAGTAGTGTGTAACCAACGAAGCTGCACAAAGTTCTCTCTGATCAATAGAGAAGAGAGAGTGCCATAATTGGAGGAGAATAGGATGTGTGACTTTAACAGGCCTTCTCCAATGGCATTGGTCCATCACTAGATGAATCAGTGAGGGGTCACTTTGGTTAGAATGCTGTAGAATCTTGATTATTGGCAAAGGAGCAGTGACAGAGAGGGAACGACAGCTGTACTTTGGCTATTCTGCTAATGATAAGTCGCCAGAGAGACATAATCCTCCATGTAATTTCCTGTTGTTTCCAGCACTTTTGGTTTATTAAGGTGTGCAAAGCCCTATATACAGTATACAGCCTCCCCTTTGCATTTTTCTGCAGACAGCTTGCACTGGGCAGATCTACAAAGTCCCATCCACAGCTCTACTCTCTGCAAAGGCTATGTATAACACAGCGATGATGTCATTACTAATCTTACAAGGCAATATCTGGGTTTATATCAATTGTGGCCACTGGGGAATACATCTATTTAAATGAAAGAGCCTACAGCTCAGTCTAAAAATGATCTTCCCCTTTGCGGTTTCACTGTGCAGATCCAGTTCCTTGAATTTCCTTGCGGAAACTGCATCCCCTATTTGACCTCATAATTCACATATATGTAAGCAAGAGAAGATTCCATGCTAAAACACAAAAAGGGACAATAGCAGCAGTGGTAGTAAAAAGTGGAGGTCATTGCTAAATAAACTTCACAATGCTATACCTAGACAGTAAGGCCCCTTTCACACGGGCTGATCAGGAGAGGACACGCACAAGGATCCTCTCCTGATCACTGTAGTATGGAGCAAATGTCAGCGATGTGACAACTGTGTCTTTACCTCCATCTTTCGATGGAGGAAAAACACTGCAATTACTGGACTCCATGTGTGTCTATGGGGAATCAGATGTAAATAGACATGTGTATGCTTACATCAGATAACCCCCGATCCGGCACAATCAGGTCCGGCGAAACGAATTTGTGATCCGCTCGTTTTTCTGGAGTCGGGGGTAACTGGACACCCTCCCGTTTACACACGGCTGCCCATAGACTTGCATTGGGCATCCGATTGCGTCCGCCCGAAAAACTGACAGGTGGACACGATTGGACCGGCCTTGTGAAAGGGGCCTTAACCAGCAAATATAAAGTACATTTTAAACACTTCTTTCACCCTCCATCCCAACTGAAACTAATTCCTCAATCAGGGCTTCACTGCAACATAGTTCTAACTTATGATGAGGTCTATATAAGAGCAGCACATTGTTTTACTAAGTGAACCACCGATAAGTGCGACTGAAAAACCACGCAGTAAACATCTTTGCTGACCAAAATTACATGTTTGTAGGGTCACTGCATGAAAACACATTATTCACTGTACCTGCTCCATGGAAGGACAAGCAATGATCTGTAAATCCTCACTACTGAATTCTTCTTTTAACAACATGTGGATCTTCTGGAAGACTTGCTGAATGTTGCTCTGTAATACATACACTCTTAACAGGAAGGTCAAAAAGCAATTAATGACACTACTGTTAATATTATTCTAAGTTGTGTCTGTGAAAGTTTTCATCTACCCAGTAAGTTTTATAGCCAGTAGTACTTAGGCCTCTTTCTGTACACTGATCCCCTACTGATCCTAGCGGTATGGATCGGACGTCACCGTGACATCCTTGTCTGTCCAGTTTTTTCATCCATCTTGTGATGGAGGAAAGAACTAAAACTGCTGGACCCCATGTTGGTCTATGGCAGTGGTTCTCAACCTGTGTAACCTCCGGACCCAAATTTGTCCTTGGTCAGCAACGCACCTCCTGCACCAGGACACTTAGTAGGTGCGATTGCGTGGTACAGTGCATGACTGGCACAGGACTGTTCAACTAACGCACTGTACTAGTGTGAACGGGCCCTCAAAAACACTTAGACACACAACCAGAGACACAATCTCACACACAAAAATATGTATATATATTTTTTTTCAAGATCCACCCAGTCTCCCTACCTTATGAGAACTGGAGTGGATGTTCAGCCTGGGGTCCAGTGTAGGCTGCTGTGCTGTGACAGAGCTTCATCAACATGTGCATTGCTTGTACAACTCCCTTGCGCACCCTGTAGAGGTGCCGGGAGCCAGAATGTGACGTCACTCCACTCCAGGCACCTCTACAGGACATGCGAGGGAGCTGTAAGCAATGCATGTATGGCTGGAGCTCCCTCACAGCTGTAGCTCCATCCCACCCCACCTCAAGCTGACACTCAGCGCCGGGCAGCATATTTTGAATGGCTGCTTGGCACGACAACTGACAGTGCTGCGCTAGGGGGAGGCTGAGAAATGTGTAAGGCACACGGCGACACACTGAACACGGGGTTGCGACCCACTTTTGGGTCACGACCCACCAGTTGAGAACCAAGGGTCTATGGGGAATCCTAAACATCAGATAACACCTGATCAGCTATGATCAAGTTCAGCACAACGAAATGGGCAGAGTCAGGGGCAACCGGGTGCAAACGTCCGTTTAGACCCAGCTGCCCATAGACTAGCATTGGGCATCTGATCGGGTACGCCTGTCAGTTTTTCAAGCAGACCTGATCAGCTGCCCAAGTCACATTCTACAGAGATATGCTGAGTTATATACCTATAACTGCTGGAATATGTTCCAAATAGTCCATATGAATGTGACTAAGTAGTTGTAAACTGTGACTTATGAGAAACAAAATATATACACAGGGACTGAACTTGCTAAAGTTTGGCCAATTTAGATTAAATTATAGTAAAACAAGCTTATTCTAGTGGTATTTTAGGAAAAGTTAAATTCTAATAATAACAAGTTAAAGAAGCCCACCTGAAACATGTACTGAAATTTTAATACAAACAAGTGAAAGTGATGTGCGTGTTTCCTTTGTAGTATTTTTTACTTTTTAAAACCTATAAAGGAAACAAAATGTGTGCTTGCTAACCTACACTACAATGACAAATGAAATCTGCCTGCTAGCTATGAGAAACACATTTTTTTGACAGCCCCTTTGTAGCAGCTATGAGTTTGGGAGATGATATTCAACAGCTTACCTTAGCTACACATTTTATAAAAGTATAGTCTTGTAAAACTCAATGATTATCAACAACTCTGAGAGAATGTGTAATGTGCCTAATGCTGTAAATACAACAAATAACTGACACAAATATTTTGATATAAATGATTATCCTGCTCTGTGTCTGTACCTATATCTCCACTATACCAAGTAAATTGTTATGCTTGTCAATTGATGAGGCAGGAAAAGCTGGTAAGTACATAAATAGAAAACTGCCTGCGTCTAGCACTTACCCGAACAGGCTTGAAAAGAATGAACTCCGTGTCTTTGTTTGCTAGGTACAATGACATGCTCCTCAGTGTCACCGGCAGTTTAGTTTTGATAGTTTTGTAGGTTGAAGACACCAAGTCATTAATCTTTGCTGTGGAGCAAGCATATATTTAACAATGAGGAATAAAAGAAAAAACGTGTAACACTTATAACTGAGAAACAGAATTCTGCACAAAGAACAAAGTTTGGAATAAAACTTCTTAAACATAATGAATGAATACCTTTGTGTGGGCTACCTGGGAGCAGTGGGATTTTGACTGTGCACTAACAGTGATGGTTGTTGGCTCAGGTCTATAGGTAGAGGGGTAGGGTTTCATTTTTATGACAGGTTTGTGTTAAAGTGTAACTAAACCCAGGAACCAACATTTTATATATTGCAGCTTACCAGTCCTTAGATGTGGTGGTTGGTGGTGATTAATTTGTTTTCCTTTAATTTCACCTGGTGAGCCTAAGGCTAGGTTTCCACTATGGCGATCCGTGACCGCAAATTCACGGAATCGCCCACCACCGCCGATCGCGCTGGTGGTGCCATTATTTTCTAATGTCACACCACGCAGATCGTGCGGTTTCCCACCGTGATACTGCCCACGCAGTCACACACTATTGCGGTTAAAATAACCGAGCGGTGCGTGTCACAAAAAGAGGTACATGTACCTTTTTTTAGCGATTGCCATTGAAATCAATGGGGCCGCGCGTGCACTTGTGCGCATCCCGTGATCGCCGATATCTGAAAGTAACACGCTTCTAATAATAGGGTGACAATGTTTACTCACTGTACTCTATTCATGGAAGAACAGCATTACCACCATAGGACCTAAGTGTGTTGGAAGTATAGAGCACCTTCCCTTGCATGGGGTTCCTCTGGGTACTCCAGTTTCCTCCCACACTCCAAAGACTTGCTGGTAGATTAATTGGCTCTGTATGCATGTGAGATAGGGACCTTGGATTGTAAGCTCCTTGAGGGCAGGGGCTGATGTGAATGTGTACTGTGTAAATTGTCGGCGCTATATAAATACCTGTAATAAATAATAAGATAGTGGGAAAGAACTCTGTAGTCCACACAGGTGAACTAGGCAGGGCTGTATTTAGTTTGCACTTCTCAAACAGATAAAACTAAAAGCTTTCAATGGTATATTTAACAGACCAAAAATGACAAGATAATTGTTGGGGTTTACATCCACTTTAAGTTGTACTATTTTACGGTGATATAGAGGCCAGTAAAAAAAAAAAAATTTGACTCCTGTCAGAGCTTCAATATGCGCTCAGATAAGAAACGGTATTTTAAACTTCTCAGATCCCCAAAAAACCAATGCTCACATTCATTCAGGGGAATTTATCAAAACTGGAGCAGACAGATTTTGGTGCAGTTGCCCATGGCAACCAATCAGCTTCACTCTTTCATATTCAAAGCTTACCTGAACAAAAAACTGAAGAGAGAAGTAAATTGGTTACTTTAGGCAACTGCTCCAGATTCCGTCTACTCCAGTTTTAATAAATTCCCCCCAATGTCTTTGAGCAATTTTATTTCTGTGCACAACACAACACAAGAAAAAAAAAAAATTTAATGGACTGGGAGAAAATAAAAAACATTGCTTTTTATTCTAATTCCCACTGACTACAAAAAATATGGAACGCAGCAAGATACAAATTGCAGTTTTTTTTAGCTGTTTGTAATTCTTATTCCACTTAATATAAAAATGACAACTTCTTCAAAAATGAATATAGCATATATAACTGTCACACAATCCAGTGTGTAATTTAATGTTATTAAAAATACCTTTCCATTTAAATCTATAGAAACAATTAAATGCAATATAGTGACCAAGAGGTGTTACGTACACAATTGTGTATGGAAACTCAGGAGTTAGATCTTAAAAATGTATTCACATACCTGAACAATTATCAAAAATGTATCTTATTTGTGTATCACTCGGCTGTAGATCCTCAAATCATCTCTGAAATCATACTGACACTGTCCTTCCTTCTGGAGGGTGGCTGCTTTTGTTCCCCATGGTCCCCGTGTGTGTTGTAAAGTAGTCACCGCACCAAGCTCACTCCTGTGATAGACTACAATCTCACAATCTTTAGTTTACTCATTTGTACTGAGATTGTGGTCCAGTTCAAATTGTAGCAAGAGATGATTTGAGGATCTACAGCTGAGTGATACACAAATAAGATACATGTTTGTTAATAGTTAAAAGTACTTGTATGTATTTTTAAGATTTAACTCCTAAGTTTAGTTTTCATTGCATTTTCCTTCCAGTTTTAAAAATACCCAATATGTCCGTGAAGTTTCTCATTTACCAACATCATGGTGTAAGCTAGTCACATGTGAAAAAAGAACGCTAAGTTTTGCAGCCACACAAGGACTTCATCTGGAAACAGTGATGACATATCACTTTTTCCCCCACTCCCTTATCACTGTTGTCTACTATGTATGATCCATTGGGCCACACTCAGGTCTGTATTCACAACAAACTTAGTGTTGTGTGGCAGCTCTCACTATAGCTCATTCCATCCTCACATGTAGCATATACTATGGAAAATGGGAAGCTACACATTAAGAATTCCTCAAACATTATTCAGCTACACAAACATGGACATTCCACAAGTCCAATCTGGTGAGCTGGTGACATGCTTTTCAGGTTTCAACCCTTTCCTCCTAATGTAATGCAACTGGGCTGTATAATAGGAGAACCCAGCACCACTATCTAAACACTTAATTATTCAAGGGAACAGTGAGACCCTCCTCTGAATCATTAAAAGGAGAAGTATGGGATCAGGGCTTTTCCCCATAGTTCTAAGGGTAACGGGAGGACACAAACTAGCGTCCTCCCGTCATCCTAAGCTCAGTATACCACGAGCTATAGCTCGCGGTATACTGAGACCGCTGCAGCCGGGACGAATCCTGACATTACTGTCGAGATCCACCCAACTGCAGGATTGACAGCTGGCTCTGCCTATCTAGAGGCAGAGCCAGCTGTACCCGCGGGGAGGGGGCTCCCAAGGAGAACTATGGGGAAAAACACTGACCCCATAGTTCTCCTTTAAGCTTATCCAACTCAGCTGTGTGTAATAAAGAAAAGGATGTGCCAAGCACAAATCTTGTTAGTGATTAGTGATCTTGGAGTAATTCCGCATCAAGACAGCTTTAGGTTTCATTCACACGACTAACAGCCGGCCCGTGCAGTTCGGGTGAGCATACGGCCGCGTACTCCCATATAGAAGAACAGGCTGCTGCATACAAAATCACATGCCGCACCTGTCTTTCCGGGGAGTGGCACGATACGGCCGTGCACGCAGCACGGATCTGTACGGGCCGGCTGTTAGTCGTGTGAATGAAGCCTTACTCAACACAGTAACAGGGCCTGTCTAGTTGCTGGGTGGAACTAGGTGAGTGATGGAAGATTATTATTGGACTGTGTTTTGGCCAATGCAATAGTATGTATATGGGGCTATACAGTAGGTGAAACTAAATAGCGGGATGATGTGGGAATTTGTAGTTTTCCATCAGGTCAACCATACTGCTTGGTATTGATTGGCTAGGCCTTCATATACGGTTTACTGTGATCGGTGTACTGAAGGGATTGTGGGACAAGTATTTAAGATGCTCCTGGCTTGAAAAGGAGTCTGGTGGGCTTAAAACACTGCTGCTCTTGGATGATTTTAAGATGTATGCTCATGATGTTTAAATAAAATTCATAAAAATATTTGGTTGAAGCAAGTATTACAAACCTGATTGAGCCCATGGTTGCTGTGAAAGGCTATACTTTGGACCACCCTGGTTAGCCATCGTTTTCAATGCAGTTACCTAAAAAAGGCCTGTAGTTAGAAAACATCTCAGAGGACATACAATTACAAGGGTAGATAATCTACCACAGTTCGGATTTTAAGAACCAGAATGAAAGGAATTATTATAAATAAGACGTAAAGCAATATTTTACAGATCATGAAAGAAATCTTAATTTAAAAAATGGTGAAATATGCAGAATTCTGCCAGTTTTACAACACTTGTGATGGCTATCAAAAACATTAAGGCAGTTTGCTGCCCCCTAGTGTGAGATGCAGAGATTTGCAACAGTTAAGAACAACCTCAATCTTAAAAAGAAAAACTCTAAAATCTACACTATCCTGAAAATGACAATGTTCCTAATTAGACTCCTTTACCAATCAGAGCGTAAAAAAAAAAAAAATACCGGTATTTAGTATGCAAAAAACAGCTGTGTACTAACATATGAAGTGCATGCTTTCTAATGGAGTTACTAATCTAGACTTCATCTGAAAAGGAAAGAACAGAGTAAGAGAGAGGAATCTACTGCATATCAGTGTTTTCAATCTTTAAGTAGTTGTATAACTTGTGCATTATAAGTACCACTACTACTGTTACCATGTGTAGCATCTGCATATATCACGGATTTATTTGTACTAGATATTAATATACAGCATTTCCAAAAATTGTTACACAAACTCAATCCTTTCTACTTTCCTGATGGTTCCTCATGTGTTCCCCACCTTCACATCCACTCTAACAAAGTCTGTGTCCAATATCTACATTATATGGCTAAAAGTGTGTGAACACCTGACCATCACACTTACCTGTATGTTAATTATTTGCAGTGGTGTCCATATCATTTTTGAGTATGGGTGTCTCCAACGAAAGGCTACTATTAACAGTGCAGCATACAGTACAAACTCATACAAACTGGCAATGGTTAGGGGAATGTACTTTTCTGTTCCAGCATGACTTTGTCCCTGTGTGCAAAGCCAGGTCCATGATTAGGTGTGATGGATTTGGGGAGCTTGCACAGAGCCCTGACCTCAACCCTACTGAACACCTTTCGGATAAATGGGAATGCCGATTACAAGCCAGGTCTTCTTATTTAACATCACAGTGCCTGACAACACAAATGTTCTTTTAGCTAAATGAGCACAAATTCCCAGATACTCTCCAACATCATATGGAAAGCCTCTTTAGAAGAGAGGATGTTATTATAGTGGCTGGGGATACTATATTAATGATCACGATGGTGGACAGAGATGCCAAACAGGCTAATCTAGGTATGATGGTCAGGTGTCCACAGACTTTTGACAATATAGTATTACACACAACCTCTCCAAAATGGCCATAACACCAAAAGAAAAAGACATGCACAGAATGGCAATGAAATCATAATGTATATTTTGCCAGAAGGATATTCTGCATGTAAAGCCTAAGCCCTCCTATTGAAACATTGATTTATAGATTAGAAAAGTATCTACACAGGTAAATGTCTGTCCTGTCCTCATAAAATGTCCAGAACATTACTGGCTAAGTGTACAGTGCTTTCAGTAGTGCAATAATTTATAAACCGAACCAGCCAAAAATCACAGCTTGAATCTGTCAGATTAGAAAAGATAACAGAATTTTGCATTGAAATTATTCCTTTTTATAATGCCAACTCCTTTCCACTAATTCCAAAAGCAATATTATGGACAGTAATCTTTAAAAGAAACAACCACTAAGCAGAAGATTGAGGGTCTGGGGTGTCTGGGATCAGAAAAGCTTTTCAGAGGACCTCCTGCTGGTCTCACTGGAGTTCTGTAAAAAGAAGCTTTTTTAAAATTTTTATTACAAGTTTCAGCTACTGCTTTTTTTTTTTTTCCACCAGAAACCTAAAAGGTATTTTTAGCATGGTAACCAGTCCATTAATCTTGCACGGAAACTGCTCCAGCTGTCTAATGGAAGTGGCAATGCAGGAGACCATATTTCATTTGCAGAGACAGATGACAGACATTTTTTTCAATGGTCTGTTTAGGAGACATTATAAAATGAAGACTAAAATGTTTATTTTAATAGGCAGCTGCAAGTTTCAGGTACACAGCATCAATGAATCATATTGTATTGCCTCTCCCTTCTTCTGTGGTGATAAAC